AAAACCGTTCAAGTTATGCCTGCTCCTCAGTGTATCATGTCTCTTGAACTTCATTGACAACAACCTGCACAAAGGTAAAAACAGTTTCCAGAATACTCTTCTGGTTTAGATGCCGAATAACTTAGGAAGTCCACACAAAAAGAGAAAGGTTTGACCTCAAGAAAAACCGTCCAAAAAACGTCCACTTCTCAGTGTTTTACGTCTTTAAACTTCGTCGACAACTGCTTTACTCTAAGATAGGACTGAGAAGTATCTGTCTTGGACATTCCTATATCGTTTTTTTGTAGTTCAGTTTTTTGTTGTTGTTGTCCAGAGGATCGTTAGAAAGAGTTGTTTTGATTGGATCCTAATTATATAGATATATTATAATTTATATATTAACAATATAAACTCACAAAAAAGATTATAATTATATTAATAAATGTTATGAAAAAGGCTATATTGATATTTTTAGAAATATATTTCCAGTAATCAGCTTAGAACTTTTTGAAGTCATAATTATCTACTAATTGAGTACCTGCTCTTGTTGCCTTTTCAGATTTAAATGTAATATGATAATTACTTGATTTGATTGATCTTCTTTTGTTAAGGTTTCAATATTTAGATAAAGTTCTGAAAGCAATTTATCAATTGTTAACACCTTGGATGTATATCATTTGGTGAGAATAGTTGTACCATTGGCTAACTTAATTACAATTTCATAATTATACTCGTATTCACTATCTTCATCAGATAAAGACTCATTGTCATTATGTTTATTATTCTTATCATCAGTAAACTCCCATTCTCTTTCTTCAGATTCATTAGGTTTATCTTCTGGAGTAGTAAAATCATATGATTCAATTTCTGAAAAACTTGCTATATTCATAACTGTAGGAGCTGCAAGGCTGCAAGAGTTGATATTGCTTTATGTTTTTTTGCCTTTGAAGATATTCTTAATAAAAATACTATTGCAACAGAAACATAAAGAGAAATTAAAAGCTTCTTTTGAACTTAGAGAGTAATTGTAAAACTTTATTTTTTGACAAATGTATTTCACTTGTTCTTTTATCTAGTTTGGCTTAAAGACTTGTGTAAATGTATATTTGACAGCTTCTGTTTGATTATCCTTGTGTAGTACATCTGATAAGTTGCAATTGCATCTTTGCTATTGCAAATCAATTCTATAATACAAACATTTATGACAGCTAAAACAGGTTCCACAGCAATATTTTAGTTTTGTCTCTTAAGCATCAGCCATTAGAATAGTATATTGAAGAGATCAATTGACATTGATATATATAATGAGTGAATAAATCAACAAAAAATTAAAACAAATATATATATAGCTTTTTATTGATTAAATGTGTAATTAATATATACGTAATTATGATTTTATATAGATTCTTAAATTTAGATTTTATATTAGAATCTCAATGATTTTCTGCAACTATTATCACTAAAATCTAGGGATGGTAAAAAATCACTTTTTAATGATTTTATATTTTTTAACTTAATTTAATAAAGGAAAGTTATATTTATAACACTATGTTATATAACACCCTATTATTAAACTGTATATTTACCCTAACCTAAAACACTAGCCCCAACTCAGATCAATACATATTTTATACTATAGGTGTTATATAACACCGGTGTTATGAATATAAATTTTCATTATTAATATATATAATAAACAAATTATATATTTTGATAAAATAATATTTTTAATTCAGATATACAGTATATTCTATACACGTTACATACACTTTCTAAAGCTAATATTGCTAAAATAAAATGTCATAATTTTGATTTTTGGCGATGCTTGGTTCGTGATAATGCTCATCGGCTTTGTAGCCCTATTTTCCAATATTATATAATTATTACGAATTTCACTCGCATAAGAAACATCACGTGCATAGCCCCTTCTTGGCATATTTTTGTTTTTATTGGTTATTCTTGTGGTACCACAACAGTCAGAAGTCTTAAATTGTTCAGTTGGCAAAAACATAAATGTATTTTTCGCTTTCTCGTGTTTAACTTCAACATTATTCTGTTAATTCCGTTAATAAAGTATGTCAGAACTGTCATACTTTGTTCAAACCCTTAAATCTGACCTTTGGTTTGTTTTACACTTTCTATGTTTCTTGTGAACACCTTTAAATTAACATTTTTTGTTTCTTTCATTGTACCATTATTAATTATTAACAAATCATTAAAGAAACAAGTTACAACACGATGGCTGCGCCAGTGGGGATATTACGAAATACTAACCAGACGCAACAGGTAAAAATATGATGGCACCTAAATTTCTGTCCAATTTCTGGGTTTGATCTATTTCTTTGAATCTGAACAGGTTATGATATTGACTCTCCATTCTTACTTTAAAATAGGGTAAACCATCTACATTAGTTGCTCCTTTTTCCGATAATTCAGATTCGGAACAAGAGGGAATCAATAGTACTGATTATGGCCAAGAGTATGAAACTGAGCCTGAAGGTGACTTGAATACCGAAGAAGCACAAGAAACTATGCAACATGAAACTTTAATAAAGTCTGGATACCTTGCTAAAAAACAAGAAAGACGGAAAGTAGGGAATAAGGTCTATATTTATACATAAAAATTTTGTTAAATGATATCATACTCAAAATTATAGCTCTTAATAATATAGATCTATCAATACTTAGAATTGGAAACGGAGATGGTTTGTCTTAAGGTCAACAAAGTTAGCCTATTACAAAAGTGAGAAGGTAATGATGAATGACTTAATCAGCATTGATTAGGAACTTGTAAATAAATATTTTATAATATTATTAGGAATATGAACTTTTGCGAATTTTGGATTTGAATGATATTCATGCGGTTGCTGAGGTGAAGCTGAAAAATAGGACCAACGTGTTTGGTATTGTTACACCAAAGCGTACATATTATGTACAAGCGGGAAGTAAACGAGAGCTTGATGAATGGGTGGATGCAATAAATAAGGTCAAGAAGGAAGTTCAAGATCAAGAAAATGAGCTTTTTGATGATGAAGGAAGTCAAGCGGACGCTGAAGATATGGCCACAAAAGAAAAAAAAACCAAGCGCCTTACTGTTCAATTAAAATCTAAACCTTCAGTGCAAGCTTTGGATAAACAATCGACTAAAACCTCCGTAAACGAAACATCTGCTATTGATATTCCAAATTCACAAGTTAAATCAACAGAATATGGTGAAGCTGGAAATTCATATGTATCGGTTTCATCTCACACGTCCGGGGGTTCCATTCCTAATATGTCATCGTTACCGTCAAGTCCGGTAGCTGCACATTTTTCAGCAGAAAGAAAGGATAGTAGTGATCCTACTGCTAGTTCTGAAGAAGAGGAGGGAGACTTTGCTGATGTGACGGGAGAGGATACCACTGATGATAGTCGCGAAATCCAAAAAGGATATTTATATAAACTTGATAGATACAGGGTAATTGAACAATTCTTGAAAAGTTATTATTATTATTTTGATGATTATAACTTGATTGTTTTTTTATTTTATAGACAACTTGGAAAAAGAGATGGTTTGTGTTAAATAACACGAAATTAGCTTATTACAAAGACCCTAAGGTAAAAATAAATTAGTTTTGTATATCTATAAGCTATTTTGTATCTAACGCAATTTTATCATTTTTAGGATAATCGTCCTCATTTGAATATTAATCTTTCGGATATTTTAGATGCTATCGAAACTGATTCTTCCTTCAAATCAAAAGAAAATTGTTTCAAGATAATTACTCCTAAGCGAACATATATTTGTTGTGCTCTTAATGAAAAATCTCTAGTCACATGGCTAGCTGCTCTACAGGTAGCGCTAGCAAAAACAAAGGAGAAGCTAAAAGCCGAGTCCTGATAACTTAAATTCTCCATGTAAATATGTGATCTTTGGATTTTTAAGATTGGTGTTGGTTATTTTCTCGATATTCTATGTCTAAATGAGTGTGTGCTTTTTATTAATGCATTGTAATTTTTTTTTTTTGATGGTATCGTAGTGTTGTTTTATGGATTCTATAATAATTATAATAATAATTTTTTGTAATTGGTTCATATTAAACTTATTTTCTAAATCCTGCTTCTACAATTAATTTTATTGCTTCACTTGTCTTTAATAAAACTATACCCTTTTTATTTTGATTTCATGACTATGATTTCAATCTGTTTTTACGATCACACGATATATTAAACCGTAAGATTTGTGGTGTTTACAACAGACATTTAAATATGAATATTTCACTTTTGGACAATTATAAATTTTCAAATTTGCTTTATTACACATATGAAAGATTGACCGATTGCAAATTATTATCTTATTATTACTATAACTAGAGATTGCGAATATGGGCGGCTTCGCCGCCCAGCTAGGTTCAATCGTCCACCGCTACGCTCCGGGTGACATTGTGGTAGTACAAGATTAGTATAGGTAGTACAATGTTAGTATAGGTAATACAAGATTAGTATATGTAGTAAGTTTATCAGTGTTCACGTGGTTGAAATTATTGAATTAATTGGAGTATAAAAGAGACGAAATTTCTTTTTATTTTATGTATTTTACAAATAATTAACGTTATTAGTAATGAATAAGATAGTATGTAAAAAGAATAATTTGATGCGTATATGTTGTTTTGGTTAATGCAAGGTGAACGGATGAATTTATTTAGCAATATTAAGAAATTGTTTGTATTTTTTTAGGTTTAAACTTTTTTTTGAACGGGTGAGTTTTTTTTTTAATTTATGTTGGTCTGTTTAGTGGTAGAGGTTCTTGAGTTTTTAGTTCCAATCGTTCATATTCTCTGATCATG